AGGGAGTAAACATAACCTCCATCTGCATAGGACAGCTTCTCAATTTTCTAATTTCATCTAATGCTGAATGATTAAAATAGGGAGATACTTAGGGAAAACCTATGGGTTTTATCTAAAAAAAACCAAGACATATTTCTAATAGGCACTTACAGAACGATTCTGGCTTTGCTAAGGTGACTATCAGCTTCAGTGGGGCTGAGGTTCCTTCCTGAGACCTTGAAATGCCTCTTGGGTTAAGTAGCTTCAACACCTGGCACGTGCATCTTCCTATGGGTTTGGGGAACAAAAGCATAGAGTTGTCTCTGCGAAGCGCAGCTGCTCCTTTCCARGCACCGCACATTAAACAAGAGGTGAAGATGGGCAGCTCTGAGGTTTTATTTATCCCTGGATCTCAAGGTCTGTTGATATTACACCTCTGGGTAATATCGCGCTATCAAAGGGTGAAAAGCCAAGCGGAGGGTGTCCAGCTCTGCCACGGCAACCGCACAACCTGCTCACCGGCAGTAGTGAGGAAGAAGGGAAGAAGTTGATGCCCATTCAAATCGGCTCCTCTCCGCCCTTACCTAGTTGGAGGGGAGGATAATTTCTGCTTTTTTGTATGTTTGAGCTCTCTAATGTCYATAGAAGTTACTTTGAGGCCAGCTGGGAAAAAATAAGTTATTGAAAGAGGCCTATCTTTGAAGGCTAACTTGAGGTAAATGTTTCCAGGCAGATTTGGAAGTGGATGAAAAACTGCATGAGGGGAAATATATACATATATATATATATATAAGTGTGTGTGTATATATGTTCATATATATATATAAAAGCCAATTTGATTGTTGCTACAGTAGCACAGCTGAATGACTCCTGGTTTAACCCAGTGCATATGGGAGGGCAGATGCTCCCATTAAGGAGCAATAAAACCCCAAATGATGCATTGGTTTAGTTAGCAATAACTGGATTCCCTTTTTGGTTCTTACTTTGTAGATGCTGGGATATATACAGTGGTGTTTGTACGAAAATCTTTAACGGTCACTCGGGGACCATCACCTGCCTGGATTTACTCAAAAATAAGTTTGTGTCAGGAGCCAAAGACGGGATGGTGAAAGGTGAGAGTTGAAACCAGGAGGCTCCCAATCGAAAGCAAGTTGCAATGACAAATGGGCAGAGCACCTGGGGTCGTGATGGATGTGATAGACAAAGTCTGGCGTTCTGAAAATAAATAGATGAATCGGATGGTCGATTTTATTTGCTCAAACTGCTGTTTACAGAACGCTAAGTTGTGTGCATACATACACATACACAAAGTCTGTGTCCTTGCATAAATTCTCAGTATTTCTGGTTTTATTTAGTTTAAAAAGGCTTTGTGGCTTCATTGCTAGAACAAATCTTGGGAGAGTGGTGTCAATTTTCAGCTTTGCCAGAGATTTCCTTGGTATTTATAAATGATTAAAAGGATATGGCATTTTCTAGACTTTGTATTTTAAAAGGTAGCTGTGTTATTAAACTCGTTAAGTGGATACCCAGCTCCAAGCTGAGCTGCGGGTACAACATGCAGCTGAAATTCCACTAACACCTTCTCATTCCTGCTGTACTCAGCAAAACGTAGCATTGGGACGTGGATATTTAGTGTCTCCCCTCTTTGCTCCTACCAGTGTGGGATCTGGAAAGCAGGAGATGCCTCAGGACTCTGAAGCACAACAGTACCATTTGGGTAGTCAAAATGAACGGCACCCACGTGGTCAGCGGCTGTGACAATGGGCTCGTGAAGGTCTGGAACATGGAGAGCGGCACTCTGATCAAAGTAGGTTTCTTCTTAGGGAGGTAATTCTGTGCTAAATTGTCAAAATCTCTGCCAGTTCATCAGGACTTTCAGGACTTTTTCTGCTAGTTACCTTAGGCGATGTGCAGGATTAGCATTTTTCCACAACTTGTAAAGAAGAGAATCTTTTTCTACCTGAATGGAAACTGGCTGCAGTTCTATGACACACCAACRTATTTAGCATATGCATTGATTATGGAAAATGATAATTCCATGATAGTAGCTAATCATCAGCAGCAAGACCAGAATGTTTCTTATTAGGGACTATTAAACTAACACCGTCCCCCATGTTGGGTATTGGTATATACTGTATATTTTGATCATATCTGATTGACAGATTGACAGATATTTTGATAAAATCTGGTAAAGCTTCTTTCCGTGCAGACGGTCTGGTGCGGGAAGCTGTCTTGCTCTTTGCATCCGGGACGGCTGATGGAAACGGTCACGTTTCTTTGTTCCGCTCTGCAGGTATTAGAAGGGCACCAGGGCCCAGTGAAGTGCTTATCCTTCGACCAGTGGCACTTGGTCACGGGWAGCACTGACGGATACGCCCTGGCCTGGAGCATGGTGGGGAACTACAAGAGGTGCCTGACTGCCTTCCGTCACCCCAAGTAGGAATCGCTTGGCTTGCGGGTCACCCATGAATGATCAATATAGATCTGTAAGGAAAACGTCTCCCTTAAAGGATGTAACATACTTTAATTACCAGCCCTAGAATTTGAAACATCCTTGATTTCAGGCTTCGTCTTAAAAATAAGGTCGGGCAGTAGAAGGTAGTAATAAGCGTATCAGTTTGAGACCTGTAATAACCTCAAATATGTAGCTGCTTGCTCACAAAAAGGATGAATTACTTCCCTTACAGTGTGGTATTTCAAGGATCCCAACCTATATTTACTAGGCTACCACATTATTTGACCAAGAATAGAGAATACTGTGTATGGGAAATTGGACTGAATTACATGCAGTAAAGCCCTACCAACTGTGCACTAGGTCACTGTAATATTTTAATTGCATATGAAAACTGTGAAAATTGTAGTGTCAGCTTGTTTCCATTTGCTTTTGAGACATRAAAATGAGATTTATAATCTAATGGATGGGCTTATCGACACCGGTGGCTCTGAGAAAACTTTGCTGCCGTTGGGGTCTGTTTGAACAGAGCAGTCCTGTTTCTGGAGTTTCTCTATCTCCGAGTCATCAGTGGCTGTGCCGACGGGAAGATCCGCATCTTCAACTACCTGACTGGAAGCTGCCTCAAGGTGATGCGGGCCAACAGCAGGGGGGACCCCATATCCTCCTTCTGTGTTGCAGAAAACAGGTTAGTGACCACGGTTGCCATCAGCCCCTGAACTACCGAACTGCAACCTAATTGTAGGGACTAGATTAGCCAGCAGAGCCTAATTGTAGGGACTAGACAACAAGCGATCGTKGCTTGTCACCTACTTAGGTAAGCAGTGGTTTCCTCACTGTATAAGCAGTGGTTTCCCAAGGTCTGTAACACATGTGAACAAATGGATCCTTCAGCGCAGCGCTAAGGACAGCTCAGCTTTAAAGCCCGTCCCCTCCCCTCTCCAGGATGGTGATCAACGCGCTCAGCTGCCTGCTCATGTTCCAGTTTGAGGACGTCCAGTGGAACTATGACGTAAAGACCGACCGAGAGATGCCAGGGAAGAAAAAGGAGCAGCGCAGAGCRTCCCCGAGCAAGACGCCGGTTCACGTTCTGCGAGTGAAGCGCGGCAAAGTCAGTCCGAAGATGTATCCGCTTCCTCTGGAGACGAAAGATGCTGACCAGCTCATGCTGTCTTACTTGATCTGCTGCCGGTCACCCAAAGGCTGTGCAATATCTCAAAGTACTACACAGTCTTTGCACTACTCTGGCACCGATTTCTAACATGAGCTTTGAAATAGTTTCAAGTGGCCGCTGTGACCTAGTCACTCTGCAGCTTCCCACGCTCTATGGAGCAATCTGGTGGATGTAGTGCGCACCTCAGTGGTTCGGCAAAGGCTTCACAAAAGCCCAGAAATTACACATTTTTGGAASGCTTGGTATAAATTCAACACATTAGTCAACTCACTGTCATTTTCTAACTGAATAATACAGAAATCACTGGTATTATTCACGTTCCCACACCTGGTGTGTGCTGAAATCTGCAGCTGATTCAGTGCTTGAATTATTTATTAACCCTTTCTTCCTTCCACCCCCAAAATCTGCATTCAAAACCTGCCATCACTAGGAAATGCAACTGCACACGAATTGGCACTTTTTAAATAATTTTATGATGATGTTTTTGTAGCCTGCAGCAGGTATTTAGCACAGTCTTTATCACAAACTGCCAGTGCTGCACTGAAACTGTACCGCACACAATGTGATGCGCTGTGAAAGCTGCCGTGTTTTTAAGACCATCCAATGCCAACTTCTCTGGCGTAGCTCTTGCTTGGTGTAAGATCCAGTTTGCAGAAGCAAGAAACAAGCTAGGAATTAACTATATGTTAGTTTCAGTGGCAACAAGTATATACATGTTGAATACATACATATTTAATATTTTTAAAATCAACGTTTGCTACATTATCTTTGGGTTGTCTATGATGTCTTTGCCAAGCAAATACTAATCTAAGCCCTAGCCTTTTAGAACCTGTGGTAAGAGGCAAAGGGGTGGCAGTGTCAGTAATGATATATTAATTTCCCTCACTTTTTTTAAAGTTTGATCACCATTAAAGTTTCTGCAGATTATTAATTCTCTTTTCCAGCTCTCCGCCATGAAATGATGAAATCAGCAGCTCGGCAGTCACCGCAGAATGCGCTCAAGAGCACAGCAGCTTTCAACGCTCAGGAGCCGAAAAACCTTTTCATTACGGATAAGCCAAAGCCCCACATGGTTGGCTTAGAAAAGTCATATTCTGCAAGAACAGGGCCAGGTACTGGTAAGAACTCTTTAAAGCCAGGTTTGACAGTAATTCGAAAAATGAGAGCCCCTAAGGTAAATGAACTGAATAAAAGAAAAAGCAGYGATCTCTGTAAGAGAGTCTGAAGCTCCTTCTGGAAGGGGTTTGCAGTGGGTAAAACAGATTCAATACCAGTTATACAGAAAATCATTTTAAAAGTAAGCTTTTTGCAAACTGTCTCAACCAGCAAATGGGGACATGGTAACTTAAAACTTGAAAATAAAATAGCACTGATCACAAACATGAGTTTGACCATATGGCATTTTTTTCCTTAATTTGTAGCCTTTCCCAGATTTTAATTTCAGAATCAGTTGGAAATTACACAGAAATCTCAGAGCCTAAAAAAGACAGATTTTAAGATCAGCAGAACCGCTTAGATCAGCCGTATGTCTCCATCCCCAAATTTATGGTGCCTGTTACTGAGATTTAAGACCTTATGTATTTGCAGAGCCAACGGTTCTAAACCCTGGGCCTGAGGACCAAGAAGTTCTGATTTTCATTAGTTTATTTTCCTGCATTCTGCCGTTCAGAGCTATAACCTAATGCTGTATGAAACACACTTAGAACGGGCAGAAGTTAACGAGTTTGGAAGTACAGAGCTGTGCTGCAAAGCAGTAAGTGCAAACGGCACAGCGCTGTGAAACCCCGTGGCAACGCGAACTGCTGCATGGCAAGGCCATGGYACCCAGGGTCCTACACTGTATTTGTTAAAATCTTCCTTTCCTGGTAGAGGGCATCACCCCACAACCTGTTGCGGTGTCACACATCAGATATCACCCCCCCCCGGCGACTTGAGACCCCACAGGCAGGTTATGAAGYGTGTCTTGCAATACTAATTCAAATTCAGCTCTGAGTAGTAGTTGTTCAAAGTGGTTTTCAGGCATTGGGAATTTCAGAGATATCCATCAGAGTCTATTCCTCTTTGCAATGCACAGAGCACAAGCTGAGAAAGACAACATCAGTAGCGAGGCTAAGGCTGAGCAAACGGCAGTGGGCATCGGCTTGTGGTAATACCCCGCCAGAGACCACCAGGACTACCCTTGACATCAGCTCTGCTCAGGCTGTGTTCATTTTGTTTTGCTTTTTTGAAAACAGATGCTGAAAGTGAATACGGCTCTTCCCTCTACGCACCCGGTGACAGGAGAGAAGCCGCTCTGCAGCACAAGAAAAGCTGCRCGCTGTCCCCTGACCAGATCCTCCTAACTGTCCGTGCGCTGCAGAACGGCTGCAAGTCGGCTCCGGTYGGCTCCGGGGTGAAGCGCGTGCCAGCAGGCGCAGGGGAACCTCCACGGTGCCAGCAAGAACGCCCTGAAAAAAAGCAAATACCCAAAACCCTGCCACAACACAGAAAGGATCAGACAGCTGAGCTCCAGCGCATGAGATCTAACAGTGACTCTCTGACCATGAAAAGAATTTCAACCCCCTTTGAAAGAAAAAGGCTGCGGCTCAAGCTAATAAACTCTCTGCACGGGCCCCTGGTGAAGTCCTCCATTCCTGCTCCGTCCATCGTACGCCCCACGTCGCACTGCGGAGCGCTGGAAGAAAGGCAAGCTCCRCGCGGCTCCGGGAGGGTCACCGGCCTTCCCGAGGCTGGGGCTCAGCTCATCGGCCGCTTCACAACGTCCTCCGACCCAATCAAATCAACCCCCATGGTCATGCAAGTGAAAACAGAGGCCGTTGCCAGGAAGAAAAGGCCCTTCCTTCAGTACGCGGCAGACCCTTACCGGGTTAACAGCGGGTTCCGGCTCCTGACGAGAAAGCAGCAGGCGGCGTATCAGGAAGCGACGACGGTTCAGTACCGGGCAAAGCAGACGAAGCTCATAGAGGACCGACAGCGAGAGTGCAAGAAGGCCTGGGCCAGGAAAATTAGAGGTCTTCCAATAGGTTCCTTTACCAAGGAGGGGAAAATCCCTGCTCCTGAACTTGGCCTTAATATGTTTATCTGAGATAATCCCTCACTCCAACAAACTACCGCTATCTGGAGCTTCCTAAATATATCAAGTCCCTTATGGTGTCCTTGTGATCCCTCTAGTTTATATATAAACATAAAAGAAATCCCTGTTTTTTTTTCTAATATGTATTTGGGGCTTATTTAAATATTTCTCAAGGCAGCCACTGGGGTGACTCCAGAGATTTGATATTGATAGGTACTCTACATAGGGGTGTGCGTGTGTGTGTGTGTGTATATATATATATATTTATAGTAACTACTGTGGGTTAGTCTAGATGCAGCATTGTTGTTTAAAGACAAGTCTTCCCGGAGAAATGGCTCAGCCATACTGGAACCAAAGCTTTTTTCTTATTAGGTCCTGGAGGTATTTGCTCCATTTTAAATGATGAGCTTGGAAGGTACCTCTGGACAGGGCCTGCTCCAGCCCCCCGGCTCCATCAGGAACAGCAGGAGTGGGTTAAACCAGGTCCAGTAAGGTCTGCACCAAATCAAACTGGCTGTCTTGGAGCATCTCCGAGGACGGAGCCTCCCCAAGCTCTCTGTGCAACCTGTTTCCATGTTCAACCACCTTCGTAGTGAGAAAATGCTTCTCATTTCCGAGCGGAATCTCCCTTGTTTCTGTTTGTGCCTGTTGTGCTGTGAGGACCATATTTAAACCTCTTTGCCTTTCACACGTCACTGTAACTTCATAGGGTACCACGTGTTCTTTGGAATTTAAAACATCTCTTCGGCTTCTTTTACTCYGTGCCTCCCCCCACCCAATATTCACAAACTCTCCCAATCCGTCACTCAAATCCCGGCTCAGGAAGCTTCTTACAGCAAGACTCACAGAACAGGCAGAGCAGGAGGTGGATCAATCCTCAAAATCCCATCAAATCCAGTGGATACTCTCTTATGTATTCAGCTTTGTGCAACGCTCCAGGCTACACTTTATTATCCGTGTTTTAGTCAATCCAAGAAACACTGACTCCAACTTAAAAAAGTCCCCTGGACTGTTTCTATGTGTGTTCTCACGAGTAGTTGGATGCTCAAAGCAGTTAGGAGATATTCCTTTTATAGACCTTTTGAGAACAATTATGCAATGYGTGGCATTCGGACTCATCCCATGTTTGTGCACAAGTGCAAAACCCACAGTATTAAAGGCAAAAATCCTTCCTCCTTCCCTCACTGATGGTTCATTTAAGGACAGTAGCAGAAGCGGAACTCAGGAGCCTACCAAGCCCCCAGCCTTGGAGGTGCTGGGGCTTCAGTGCTGCTTGGCCGTGAGCTCCCTGTGGCTGGCGCCACTCGGCGCTGCAGAGCCGCGCTCCGAGCAGGGCCCGCCCGTGCGCGGCCTCCTGCCGGCCGTTACACACGGGCTGCCACGAGCGGCCCGGGGCTGCCAAGGCCCACGGCAGGTAGGGGGAGACAGCCACGTCTCTCCCCCAACCTCAACGGGCCGCTTCGTTCTCCCTCCTTATGGACAACCGCGCTGAGCCCCGAACGCCCCCGCGCGCGCCGCCAACGGCTCTAACGGTCACTAACGGCCGCCCCCGTGACGTCACCCGCGCGCCGCGGCGGCCACGTCTCGCGCGCCGCCCCCCGCGCCGCGTGCAAGCGCCGCGCGCCCGCCTCCCGAGGGCGGCGCGCGCCGGGATTGGCTCTGCGCGGTGACGTAGCGGCAGCCGGAAGTGCGGCGGTTCCAACGATGTTCCGGCAGGTGAGGCGGGCGGCGGCGGCGCGGCGGGATAGGCCCGGTTCCGCTTCGGTTCCGCTTCGGTTCCGCTTCGGTTCCGCTTCGGTTCCGCTCCGGTTCCGCTCCGGTTCCGCTTCGGTTCCGCTCCGGTTCCGCTCCGGTTCCGCCTCGGTTCCGCTTCCTTTGGCCCGGCCCGCAGCTCGTGGCTGTCATTCCCCTCATGAGCGGCCGGGCGCGGGGGGCCCCGGTAGCCTCAAGGCGCGCGCGAGCGGCTGAGGGCAGGCCGCAGAACGGCGCTCAGCGGGAATTCCCGGCCGCTTCCTGGTCGCTTTGGCCGTTAGACCTGTGGCAAAGTCACAGCCTTTTGAAAGAAAGAAAAAAAGCCTTCAAGTGCCGTGGCCGGTCCCTTGCGAGAAGSCCTATTAAACTGCAGAGGGTTTCAGCCCGTGGCACGTTGTAGCCGCAGCCTTGGTGTGTGATATTCCACAAGGGAAGCGAAGCAGGTGAAYAGTGAGCCCTAGTCTAGCTGGAAAGTGACTGTGTGACTGCAGGCGGGATCCTGGGGCTCCCTGGGTGACTTTATGCAGGTTTCAGAAGGCACAAAACAGACAGTAGAATAGAATCCAGCTGCTATATATTTTTGTTTTGCTTGTGGCTGCATTCTTCCTGTTTTCAAATTATCTGGTTCTTAAGATGTCCTTGTGGTTCTTCTCGTAGTCCCTTGTTGAAGCTGAGAGGAGCGATCCCCTCTTTCTCACGCGGCTCTTTGTGTCTTCYCCTTAGGACAGCAATGACGACACTGAAGATGTGTCCCTCTTTGATGCAGATGATGAAGTATCCAGGAGATCCAAAAAGTCTAAAATAAGGTTTGTGCCTAAATTTTTATGAGGGAGATTCTGGAGGAGTCCTAGACTCAAGTGCAATGAAGGAAGGGCTGCCCCTGTATGTTAATACATGTAGCAGCAAATACTGTTTTTATTTAGTGAGAAGTAATAAGTAATTTCTGGGTGATGGAAAGTGCCAGTTAGAAAAGTGACCCCCCTTCTGGGGGTCCTCAGAGTGAAGATTCTTCCTGAGTACGAGGATTTTCACTGGATGTGACGCTGAGCAGTTTGTGGCGGGGGGAGCCCCGTTCGCAGCACGCGGGGAGGCCGCTCTCGTGCAGCAGGGTCGTTCTTGCCTGCGAGGTGGCAGCAGAGGACGGTGGCAGGGTCGTGCTTGGGAGGCTCTGGCTGTGCTGCACTTCTCGTGTGTCGTTCCAGGCACCCGGTGGCATCCTTCTTTCACTTGTTCTTCCGAGTCAGTGCCATAGTGGTCTATCTGCTCTGTGAGCTCCTAACCAGCAGCTTCATTGCCTGTATGGTGACAATTATCCTGCTCTTGTCGTGTGACTTTTGGGCTGTGAAGGTAAGTCTCTCTCGTGCTTTTTGTTATCTTCATCTTGAGCTGTAAAAATAATTCTATAATAAACTGTTGTGATAGGAATGTAACAGAAGAAGCAACGTTTCTTCACCTTTCCAAGGAAATAATCCCCCAAATACTTCAATTGTTATGAAGTGTTACAAAATAATAACTCTTAAAAAACAGTTTTTAAATGCCAAGAATATYCTGGTCTTTGTGTTATGGCAATAATTTGTTCTTGCACCAAAAACCCACCAGGGTAGACATGAAAACCCTAATTCCTAGTTTACTCCTGTCTTCATTCCTTGGAAAGCTTAGCTTGCAACTTAGGCTGTTGTGTGTAGAATTTTTCATCCTAGGAATTACCAGCTGCTGTATAGTCAACTTTAAATCACACTGCATGGCTGCCTCGTTGCAGCACTTCCCTTTTGCTTTCTTTTTGAAGCAGCTCGTCTCTTCAGTTTCAGGATACAGTTTGGGAAGGCTGAGCTAACGTGGCAGCTCCTTCCTCACGGAGGCAGCAGGCCCATCCCTGTCTTTCCCCTTGCATCAACTTTGAGGTCTTCAAAACCCGCCTGGATGCCACCCTGTGCCACATGCTCTAGGTGTGCCTGCTTGAGCAGGAAGGTTGGACTAGATGATCTGTAGAGGTCCCTTCCAACCTTAAATATTCTGAAATATTCTGAAACTTTCGTCCTTACTGCTTAATGAGCCTATGCGGTTTGCTAGGCCTGCTGAAATGAACCTGGCAAATAAAGCAAGAATAGTCTCCTGCCAGAATAGTTGTCTGAATGGCTTCACTGGGGAATYGGAAGAGTTTCAGCGTGTTAGTGGGTGGAAAACCCTGCCCAGAAGCACAGGGATCTCGTGGCTACCGAAGGGAAGGGTGGCCGTGACTTCAGACTCATTTGCTCCTTTGTCTTCACATCCTGTTCAGTGACTTAGGAAAGCAGTTAGATTAGCTCAGAAAACAATAAATGTATTTCTTATATTTGTAGCTCGATCCCTGTATGTCGTACTACGATGCCTGTGGTGATTGCGTGGTGTCTGAAAGCAGCTGCCTGGGTTCCATCTTTCGTAGCAGAAAATTAAAATCTTACTGCTTTYTATTTCTGCTTCAGAATGTGACAGGGCGACTGATGGTTGGCCTTCGCTGGTGGAACCAGGTGGATGATGATGGTAGAAGTCACTGGGTATTTGAAGCCAGAAAGGTAAAGAACTTTTTTGTATTTTTAATTGTTTAGTTTGATAAAGTCCCTATTAACTAGCAGTAACGTTTGTGAGGTGCGTTGTGCAATGTAGACATTCCAAACACAGTATTTCCAAACACAGATCTGTAACCACCTGCCTGTTTTATGTAGGCTACTGAATAAAGATTATCTCAACCTTTTACATTTCTAATTTTTTTTTATTATTGTGAGTTATTGTTTTGGCTTTGAGAGTAACCTAAAAGTTTCCCGTAACGTGTAGCAAATGTTTAYATGTCATGTTGCAGCCTGCAAAGCTCTCTGGTGTGCAAACATTACTCATTTTACTGTTACCGTGTTGTGTAAACTGAACAATATAGTAAATGCGCTGTTCCCAAAACATATGAGGGCCATTTAGCACCCCAGTAAACGTTCCAAGAAAACTTTGTGCTGTTTCCAGTGCTACTTCTGACAGAAAATTGACAAAAAAAGCTTAAATGGAAACATCTTTTGCAGAAAGGTCTTAATGTAACGTAGAGATTAACTGTGAAAGTTCTGAGTGCCGTCATGTAAAGCRGGAAGCCTGTTGATTTGGGACCGTCTGTAAAAACGCTGTACTCGGTACAGTAAAGCGGCCTGCTCAGATCCATTTTCGTTCTGTTTCTAGGTCTCGGCACARGGGAATAAGAGCTCATCGGAAGCAGAGTCTCGAATTTTCTGGCTAGGTCTAATCACCTGTCCTATGATCTGGGTGATATTTGCGTTCAGCGCTCTCTTTTCTTTCAAAGTGAAGTGGCTGGTGAGTTGCTTTCTGCAGGTCAGCGGCAGCGGGTGCGGGTTACGTGCAGGTGGGTGCCAGTCCTGACGGTCGTTTCTGCCGYGTCTCAGGCGGTGGTCGTCATGGGGGTGGTGCTCCAGGGAGCCAACCTTTATGGCTATATCCGGTGCAAAGTTGGCAGCAGGAAGAACTTGACGAGCATGGCCACCAGCTACCTTGGGAAGCAGTTCTTGCGGCAGGTAAGATTTCCAAGGGTTTGGAAGCCCATCAAGCCTCTGCAGCCAAATCTGTTTCTGTCTGTGAGCTTTTCTGCACCTGGGTCATGAAGTGAATGTTTACTTTCCTCAGGTTTTCTCACTGTAGGCCTGTCTGTCCTTTGCAGGGGGTGGGTGACTTGGTTCTCCAGGTTCATAAATGTTTACGGGAGTTGCCTTTAGAATGAGTAAAAGTGAAATGCTGAGGAGCCTTTCTTCTCAGCAATGTGCTGTGAGTCGATGATCTTGAAGGATGGACTTATGGTTGCGCTCGATGGTCTTGAAGGTCTTTTCCAACCACAGTGATGCTCGGATTGCCTGACYGTGCTCTCTGAAGCTGGGTTTGCTTTGGAATGATTGCAGTGGTTACCCTCTGGTCCAGACCAGTGTCGGGCCCTGGTAGAAGTGCATGTATTGCCCTTGAATCCATGCAGGTGATTGAAATAGCTTTTATCTGTTGTGCTCTCTTTCCGTTCTGCAGACTGTGGCTAAAGATGACCAGACAGCATCTTGAGGATGGCAGAAGCCTTAAGTCAGGCTGGATTTGCAGTGGTGAACTCGGAGAGTGCTACTTTGACCGTGGAATTTGGGAGCTGCATTAACAGTGTGTGAATTAAAAGAAGTAAATAAATTGTGCGAGACTTCAGGTTAACACTCCTAGYAACTTGCATTCAGTTTTTCTCTAGCAGTTGTGTTTCTTCAGTTTGATTTGAATTAATTTGCCTAAACTTTAAAAACCATCCTAGTTGGCTCCCACACAGGGTCTACATGTACTGGATGAACTGAGACAGAAAAGCTGAGCGTTCTTCTTCAGAAAAACCGTGCGTGAGCCCAGGCTTCTGTTAGCTGAGAGCATCCAGCAATTGGCACCTCAAAGAGTTTCAGCTGTAGAGTTACCTGTATTGTGTTCGTAGAGGTAATTGCTACTTACTACAATGTTCAGACCCCTGTTCCTTAGATCTCTCTCTCGTTCTGTGATTTGGGTATCTGAGCTTGTTGAGGTCTCTGGATTTAAAGGACATGCGGCTTTAGTTAGAGGAGGTCTAGTGGAACCCCTGCAAAGTGACTTTGAAGCAGCTCTGGTCTTTTATTGGAGGTCACAGTAACATCTTGCCAAGACCATGAATCAGCCCCTGGGTGTTGCACAAAATCCCTCTTCTACCGTCAGGCCTGTGTCTGAGTGGAGTCTGCGGTGAGAGCAGGTTACAAGGAAAGGTGGGCACACGAGTTCCCAGGCACAGCAAGGCCATGAGTCATTTTGTCAAGGCTGACAAAAGCTGTTAAAATAATGCCATTTAACGTTAAAATGATGCCATGTGGCATCGCTTGGGGGCTGTACAGTAGTAATGTAGTTGATGCCCAGATATTTATCTCCAAGCCCAGGTGAGGGTGCAGCTTAATGTGACCCGTTGGGTCCTTGGCCAGGCCCTCAGTGCAGGATAGTGGGACACGTTGCTGACTGGGTGTTGATAATTCAGCCCTTTAAACCAGAGCAGAATCTGAACTCAAGGCCCTTTACTTCTCACTGTTAAATGACCAGAAGGGTGTTTTAAATACTGCACTTACAGAGTTATCTAAAAACCTGGCRTTAGCGTGGACTTTGCAAGATGCTTACATTTCTTGAATCCAGGCAATATGCTGTTCCATGAATGTGCTCTCCAAGCAGTCCTTGGGCTGAGGAAAAAGTCTTTTGTRTGATCATGAAATTGGAGCTTATAATGTTCATGTAGATGGAAAAAGTGGTGAATTTGGTGCATAGCACTATACGAAAGGGGTTGGTTCCTTCTTGCAATGTAGCTCTGTCAAGGCAGATGCTTTTACATCAGGGGATATTCTGAGCTTCTGATGAGGTCTTTTAAATTAAGAATGTGTTTTCTTTTTTGAATAATGGGTATTGTAAATTGTGGGATTGTATTGATGATATTTTTTTCTGCCTGTACTGTAGCAATACTTGGGAGCTGTACGTTTGTTTAACTCTATGGATTGCTACCTTCTTTTTGTAAATATATATTTATAAATGAAATTAAAAGAAGGCTTTGTTTAACCAGATGAGGTGTCCTTTGTACGATTYATGGCTGTGCTGTGTTCCCAGGCAGTGACATACTGTAACGGGGATTCCTCGTGGCGTTCAGGGATGAAGGTGAAGGGCGGCTCGGGCTCGGACGCCGGCAGCCACACGGGGCCGCACGAGCCCAGGGCTGCCGTGTCCAGCCCGGCGGCGGGGCCTTCCCACGCCTGCCCAGCGCATCCCCGTGGGCTGGGACAGCCACAGCCACGAGGCTCTTGTTGTCAAACGCGTTGAAAGCTGCTCTCCTCTTGTCACAGCTTCCTCCAAGCCACGCCTGGARAATACTGAGGGCTTTTCTGGAAACTCTGGTGTATTCATCAAGGGCGGAGATGGTGATTAGTGCGTACCTTTAAATACAGCCCTCTCTGGCTTATTTTTAGTCTCTCGGCAACCATCCAGTTTGCTGGCTTTGGAGAAGTTGGCATTTCATCCCGTTTGGCTGCAGCGTGGAGCAGCACTGGGTCCCTTATCGCCTCGCTGCTTGGGTGTGATAGCCTTTGATTTGTATTTGCCATCTGCTGGGGTTTCCTGCAAATCGGGAAATGGGAGTTGCAGCCAAACAGGGAGTTCTCTGAATGTGCTTCTTCAGAGGAGCCCGGGGAATCCACGGCAGGCCCATTTCTTCAGCTTTAGCTGCGTAACCGTCGCCCCAGGGCTGGGTGGTGCCTGAATTTTCAGCTTGCAGAAACAGAAATAACCCAAGAGCAACAATAGTAAATATACGCATATTTACTATTTGCTCTGAAACAGCAAAGTGCTTCTCTGTGCCTGCAAGCACCACTGAAAGGTGGGGTTGAAATGACCCTCACTTTGCAGGCAGAGCTGTTCGGAGTCCTCGGAGCACTGGGTCTTGGGCTGCTTGGTGTTTCCTCAGCAAGAAGCCACGGTGACTAAGCAAGAGTGGCACTTGGGGACTCCMAAGGGAGCAGGGCCAGGGGGTAAGGTTGGGTCTGGCTGGGCCCAATGCTGTTTGCAGGGCTTCTGGCAGGAAGGAATTTGGAGCTTCCCTCYTCCCTTTCCATGCAAACAGCTCAGAGTTGGGGACAGGCATCCCATCCTCCTGCAGAACACACTGTGTGGCTCAGTGTTTAAGAGGACGGGCTACGCCTGCCCTGCTGGAGGGCTGCTCGGTCCTGCTGGGTGTGGGACAGCGATAAACCTAGGGCTGAAGCTCCCTGAACAACCCCTGCCCCCTCGAGCAGCCCCTTCCACTGCCCTCCAATTTGYAGCATGAAAACACCCCTGCAGTCACGGCCGGTGCCTGCACTTGGCACCCTCRGCTCGCCCCTGTGCCCCATTTTCACGCAGAATCGGACCCCCTGGGTGAGGGCTAGTCAGTGCTCTCCTGCCTCAGCAGGGGAGAGAAGAGGAGGGTGGTTCAGGCTGCGAAGGTTCCTCTGAGCTGCCGCTTTGCTCTGTCTGCAAGAGCTGGAGGCCTGCAGATTTGGGATTTCAGTTTTCCCAGTGACCCACTGGCGAGACAAAAGAGCACGGTCTCTGCTAGACATACTTGGTGCTGCCTTCCGTTGGTGTCTGCTGCTGCAGATACCCTGTGCTGCAGCACACGAAGAAGGGAGAAGGGCAAAGCAGGGAGGAGAATTTGGGAGGTTTAGCAAGAAGGTGCTTGATGGGGCACTCAGACSTGCTGAGCAGCAGCTATTGGATCCCTTCTTCAAGGAGCTTCAGCATTTGCCAGGATGAACTTTCCCCTTCACTGATGCTCTCCAGTTATTTCTCTCCAGTTATTTTTTGCTTCTGTGAATCCCAGTCTTTGGATATTTGAGCTGTTTGATTGCTTCAAGAGAAAAAAGAAAATCAGTATCTCATTTCCCACCTTCTGCCTCTGGGGAACCAAGGTAAGAGGAAGGTTTATTTTAGGATTAACAGCTCAGTGGGCTCTTACGCGAGTCCTTGGCCTCCTGCACGAAGCCCCCTTGACCTGCTGAGTCACGACTCCTCATGCTGCCAACTTGCTCCAGTCTCCTCCTATTTGGTTCATTTTGGAGAGTTACAAAGAAATGTGTAAACAGCTCCATAGTAACCCGTGGAGTAAATGAGTCACTGCTGGCTTTAGAGCGAAGGGACGGACCSTTAGCTGAGACCTGCTGTTGTGTCTGCAGATTAAAGGAGGCTTCAGGTGCTGAGACTTATTCATGGTTTCCTTCTGAGAGTTTGATTACGTTTAGACCTGCCCCTTTTCTGACTTTGTGACTTCTGCCCCGGCAGATGTATGTTCTTGACCTGCATGCTCTGCCATTCTTGTCACTTTTTTCCCCTTAAATCATGAGTTTTAGCACTCCACGTAATCTGCTTTCCTAAGTGCCAAGAGCCTGGCTCTTTGCTGGGGCTTTGCTCACCTTATGGCCGGAGTCCCCACCCAAAACTCCTCATGCTTCATGATTCTGTGATTCTGTGATTCTGTGATTCACCCAAACGCCCCTCAGAAGTGAATCCCTTTTTTTCACAGCTTTTCAGCCTGTCTGCATGAGCTTCCTGGCGTCAGGTTGCGGGTCGTGCCCGGGAGCCTGCTTTAATTGGGCTTTGAAGCCTGGAGCTGGGCCTAGGAGAGCAGGCAGCTGGGATCTGCCTGTGGGCCCTGCGCRCGCACGCTTCATCCCGCCCGACCCTCGCAGCGGCAGAGGGAGCTCTTAAGCTTTTCTCGTTGATTTTTTTTTTCCCTTTTCCCTCTTAAACCGCCCTCCGCACTGGAGAGGGCAGCTGGCGCAGAGGGAGCTCCCTGTCCACCCGGCCGCCTCCCTGTCCGCCCGGCCGTCTCCCTGTCCTCCCGGCCGCCTCCGAGGAGCAGCCGCGTGGGGACAAAGCGCAGGAGCACGCCGGTGGCACCGGCACCGGGGGCTGCGAGGCGGGAGGAGCAGGAAGGTGCCTGGACTCCAGCCGCCTGGGCCGGGAGGAGCGAGCAGGGAGCGCGGCCTTGCCAGCGCTGCGCACGGGACACGGCCCCGGTGCCCTCGTGCAGAGCCTGTGGCCGCCGCGCTCCAGGCCCCGCTCCGGCTTCCCGCCGGGCTCCGTGTCCCCGAGCCGGCGGCTCCCGGCCTGGCGCCCTGGTTGGCACACGTGTCCTTTCCCAAGGGGCTCCCTCTGCGCTTGGCTGGGCCTGAACCTTCCCTAGGAACCATGTCCTGTCCACAGGCTTTGGTGGGAGCTGCGGGGTTAAATTACTGAATGCCACCAGGAAAACCTCACTAAGGACTTCTGCACTGGACTACCTCTCTCCAGGGCTTTGAAACAGCAGCTAACTGCCTTCCTTGCTGTTAATATTCCAGGATGATGGGATGTGAGGGCACAGCCCAAAGGGCCAGGCCTTGCCAGGTCCCAGCCCCCAGCCTGGGAAGCTGGAAGGTGATTTTAAGGAGGATTTGTCCTGGCTGAGTGCGGTGCCAAGGAGATCAAACTGCACCACTTCCTGCAGGGGGTTCGTATCTACTCTGCTGGAAGTGACGAACATCGTCCTGTAACCCTGGAGCACGGGGCCGTGGGGGCAGGAATGATGCTGAGCGGGAATGCGGCCTCTGAGCCCAGGAGAACGGCGACATGGAACTCCGCCCTGGGCGGCTCAGGCTGCTGYGAGGATGTGCGTGTTTTTTGCTCTCAGGAAGAAGTGTTTGGGCCCGGGAAGCAAAATGTTTGTTAATGCTTCCACTCCTGTAAGCAGAAGGGGTTAAGAAGCACCAGCGTTTTGATGTTGGTTCTGCAGCAGTGGGTAAATGCGCTGAGCAGGCCGGGCTGCAGTGTCCTTTTCTTGCCACCTTCAGATCAAAGTGCCCTTTCTCAGCATGTCTTGCATCTGGGGACATGGAGCTCTTTCCTGGTTCTCTTGGATCACTCCTGTGTCTCCCACKCACTGCACTGCACCCGGTCTGGTTTGGGTGGAAGCAGGGAGTATTTGTCACCCATTTGGTGACGTTTCAGTGCTCTGAGTCCCATCCATCTACCAGAAGGGGGTCCAGGCCTTCAAAACGCGCCCCCCCCACCCCCCATCACCTCTTTGGTCCTGCACAACCCCCTTCTGCAACCACTTCCTACAATGAGCTTCCAAATCCATCCTCGGTGTTGCAATGACGCCTTATCCTTCCTGCTCTGTGCAGACCATTCTACCCYGTCTGCTCGGGTGGTCTTTTCACCAAGAGCCTTCAAATACAAACATCCCCAGTGTAATTTTTGGCAATGTCCAAGTCTCTGGCTTCAGATGTATCAACAAGACTTGTCATTACTCCGAGCTGTTTTCTCCTTGCTCCCACAAGGCCATGAAGTTGTGGGATATCTGCGAAACAATCATCCTGTTATCCAGACGCTGGATTTCATTTCTCTCAGGTGTGAGGCTTCTCTATCATGCAGCCCCGAGGAGGGCCGCCAGCATTACAGTGTGCAGTATTTTTGCTGCAATATTGCCAGACTGTAGTTCCCCAAGGATGTTCCATTTGTTGGGAAATAAATGACTTGGTGACRTGACAAGGATCAGGGGACAGAGCGCCTTTTTCTCTAAGACAGATGATCACTAGATGTGTCCTGTCTGCTGAGCCCACAGACCTGCACAATCAACATGAGTGCAAAGGCCAATTATATTACTTCTGGACCTAAAGTGTCCTGAGTGAGATCCTTTCATATAGGGAAGCTGAAACCCTGTGGAAGAGCCAAAGATACTATGTTACGGAGCCTAGGAAGTTAAAAAGTTGTATCTAAACCTTAAAACCCACCTACCTGAACTGTGAGCYTCTGCTCTTAGGTGGATCAGACTCGTGTACTGATGGAGCACCTTTCCGTTGCTGAATCATTTTGCCTTAAGCCTATTATAGAATCATAGAATCCTTCAGGTTGGAAGGGACCTCTAGAGGTCATCTAGTCCAACCCCCTGCACAC